AAATAATTTTAATTTGAACCTGTAAGAAACACCATGCACTGGTACATGTTTAGTAAATTGTATGGCAAGTATGATCTTTAGATATTTTTCTCAGGGCACAGCAGGTTAAAACAACACCTGTTCAAACATATAGTTCTGCAAAATTTCCAGTTTTTAATAATTAAATCAATAATGAGAGAATATATTTTGTTTTCTGGTGTGTGTTTTTTTTAACAAACACTGAATTATATATATTTTTTCTGAGAAGGTTGGTTAGAATACTTTTATTGTGAATATTTAATATTTCCCTCATTTCCAAATAAGCTATATCTTCTTGATTCACCATGGAAAGCATAAAATCAAATTTTATCCTTAAGGTTGGAAAATGCAAGAATATACCTGACTGTTCTGTAGATAGAGGGACAGTTTCTTTGCCTGATCCACCAGAGTGCTACAAAAATAAAATAACATGAAGGAGTTAAGCCATCATATGCAATCATAGCTTTTCCTCATGAGCCAAAAAGTACACACTGTACCTGTGTTGTATAGGCTGAGAGGTGTAAAGGTTTGTTTCCTCTGAGAGGTGACTAATCAGTTCAGGATTGAACAGAACCATCAGCTCTGGTTGAGAGAAGGTAACACAAGTTTAACATTAGCACTTATTTTTACCCTATTTTCACTCTTGAACTCATAGGGTAGCTTTGCATGATTCACAGTTCAAAATAAGCTCTAAAAGCAGAATTGTGTCCCCTGTACTGGGCCTTATTGCAGTAGATCACTTTGAAGTGGCTGTGTGTTAGTGCTAGATAAATTCATTTCTATTAAATTGAACTGAACTAGAGCTACAAGAGCTGAAACACTTTTTAAACTCTTCTGCCTTTAAGCCAACTTCCTTTCTAAATGGCTGCCTCTCATAAACAGAAAGTTTGAACAACATGTGGGCTGAAAAATCTGTGCTCACAGCTAGAACTATGTGTCTTAGATGGGCATATTAGATGATATCTATGTATTAAAATATCATACAGGCCCAAGAGTAGAAAGATTGAAAAAGAGGCCAATATTTACTATCCTAAATCTCTTAAACGCAAGAGTTTACTGCTCACCTTCAATCACAGTACAGTATCTTTGTTTTATTCTGTGTGGCTGTTAAAACTAGTTTAGGTTTAAGCTTTCTGACTGCAGATTAATCATAAAAATTAATTTGCCCTGCCAAGTTGACGTGAACATGATAGCAGTGTTTTTGTAACAGTAACTATCACGTTGTGTCCATATCAGTGCTGTATAGATAAAGCACTGTGGTATAACAGGAAAAAATTATTAGCCTCGTGACATGAGTGTATTTAGTAAGGTGCTGTAATTCTAGTGAGGGTAAAGCTTGGATCAAGCCATTTGGTTACTTTTATATTATCCCAGAGACACTTGAACACATTGAAGCTCTCACATTATGTCCCACGGGAAGCCCAGAAAAACAACAGCGACTTTATTAGGTACACATATAATGTCAGAAGCTGTTAAAGATATATACTTACCTCTAAGTCTTGATACAACTGAGGACAGCTCAGTGCTGTAGAAAAGGACCAAAGTGTGAATTTCTAATTTTGTGTAGGTTTTCACTGTGCTATCACAGCTGAACAGTAAACTGTGCTCACCTGCGCATGTGAAGTCCAATGGCGGAAAGCAGACCCACATCTGAGGGCCTAACAACATTAACTGAAAAAATTGCAAAAAATAAAATGATGCAGCTGATTAGCCTAGTTACCAAATCTGGGTAAAGGTATGAATGGTAAATGGCCTGTATTTGTATATAGCACTTTACTAGTCCCTAAGGACCCCAAAGCGCTTCACACAACCAGTCATCCACCCATTCACACACTGGTGATGGCAAGCTACATTGTAGCCACAGACAGAGGCGAGGCTGCTGGACACTGGCGCCACCGGGACCTCTGACCACCACCAGTAGGCAACGAGTGAAGTGTCTCGCCCAAGGACACAACGACCAAGACCGTCCAAGCTGGGGCTCGAACCGGCAATCTTCCGATTACAAGGCAAACTCCCAACTCTTGAGCCACGATCGTCCCATGATGGTGTTACATTAGTGTGTGCAGCAGGGAAGTTGTTTTATTTATTTATATATATACATTTATTATAACCTACATTTATTTATATCCCAGTAAAAGTTTTAAAAAGTGTGATAACAGGAAAGTTTACTAAAACTATCAAATCTAGTAATCATGCTAAACGTTCTACTCAGACTTAATCATTACACCTACATCGATCTCCCAGTGCAGCTTTTGTGTTGTTGTTGTTAATGCAAGAGGATGTTTAGGACTACAGTAATGAGTCAGCAGAGCTTTATGCACTATGTACCTCAGCACTCACCGACCCTGCTCTGTACTTTTGCGTGGTCAGACACTTCATGGCTGAGTTGTAGTTTATCATAAAGATCAGTATTATAGTGTCAGCTGTAGAGCTTTGTTCTCCTCGAAGGCTGTTCATAAAACCATATGATTGTCTAATTTACCAGTTGAAGGAGGCTCCTGCGAAGGGATCATCTGAGAGCACGGCAGTCCGACTGCTAGAAAACGTGAAGAGATAACAAATGATAAAAATGCTTCAAAGTACAGAAGTTCAAGGCCCTGAGGAGCATTTTTGGCAAAAGTATTACTCTTTATTCAATTGCAGACTTGGCTCAAATCCACTCTTGGTTGGAAAAGAGGAGCACAACAAACACAAACATCTTCTTCCTGTATTGCTATCACTCTTACCAACTGGACAGTCATATACTGAATATTTTAATTTTACTTAAATTATTTTTTTAATAACTATAGTAACTATATAAATAACTATAGCAGCAAATATACATCAAAATCCAATAATTTCAACTAAACCTCCAAAATAAGCAAATAAATAGTACAAGTAGTAATGTTAGTATTAACAGACTGAGTTAAAAATAGCTTATTTTAACACCTGACTTCTGCAAAATTTACTTTAGGTAAATCGTACATAATTCCTACATTTCATGCAGAACCTTTTCAAAATATATATTTATAATTTGTCAAATTGAAACAAAACATCATCATAACAAACATGAAACATGAGCATTAGATTGAGCTATAGTAACAGTGGAGACCTGATGTCCACGTGAGACCCAGCAGAGAGATCAGAAGCAGCTGCTGAAGCATCTTATTTTTTAATGTTGTTTTCATTTATCTTCTGTATGGCTTTCTTTCCTGCCTGCTCTCTCAGCTTACAGTAAGCTGTCTTTCTCTGTTATTATCAGTTATACTTAGTCAGTTAATTATAGCTGTCATAAATCCTCATGCAGGGAAGGGACTATCCTATTTGTTCAAAGGACACAGCTTGAAGATGATATATGATATATGATGATATAATGACACTGATAAGCTCAAAGAAAGTAAGAAAGTAATGGGTTTGAATTTGCTTTTCTGTGTGGAGTATACCTGTGTGGCTTCCAAAGACATGCTTGTTAGGTTAACTAATGAATTTGTTGGCTGTAGGTGTGAGTGTCAATGGTTGCCTATCTCTATGTGTTGCACCTATGGCAGAGTGGCAGAAAGGAGAGGTCAGAGAATATGTCTGTGAAGGTTCTCAGTCATCCAGGTCATCGTAGTCTGAGGAGCTTGGAAAGAAAAGCATCTGGACTTCTTTAAGTTTCCTTGAAGATGTTTCCCCTCTCACCCAAAAAGCTTCTTCAGTTCTAAGAGCAATTGGTGGACAGTCCCAGATAGGGCTTAAATACTGGGACTCTCCACCATGGACTTGTCGGAGAAAAGAAGCAACTTCAGAAGTAATGCACAAAGTTTCGGAGCCTTTGTATCAGGCACTGAAATGAGAAAAGTAAACTGGCAGATTGCACTAAAGTAGTAAATCTACTGAAAAACCCATGAATACGGGGAAGTATTGGAATAGTTTTCATAAAAGTCACAATAAAACCCCTCAAATCCCTGATTAGTGGCAAAACAAGAGAGTGGCAAAAATAGATAACAAGGAAAAAAGACAATGCATGGAGAAATGACTGCCTTCACATATGACACTAAGTGGAATGATTGACAATCAGTCCAATGTTCCTGATTGTTTTTCTGGCTGTTCAGAGCACATTAGTCTAACGTGACAGCAGATGCAACGAGTCCTCTCAGAGATTAAAGAGCTACACGTGTTATTCTGGAAAACTGGCTTGACTCACTATAACATAGGAAATGGGTTTTAGGGGGCTGACGAAAGTCTGACGAAGAGATATAAAGTGCCATGGAAGGAGAATGAGGCTACAGAATGAAAGCTGGTGCAGGTGGTGCAAGTATGCTGTGGTTCTATTTTGAATGGACACATTCCTGGGTAAATCCCATTGGTTAATCTTGGTTGTAAGGTAAACCGACTGTTTACTGCAAGATTAGCACAATGGAAAATTTGACTAAAAATAAACCGGTCTGCAGTTTTTGCTCACAAGCACGCGATTCAACCTTCGTTGACATATTTACCTTTACTTTAAAATGAAGAAAACATATGAAAAGTACATTTAACAAAGGAGAAATTTACTACAAAGGACACTTTCTGTACAGTTTAAGGGTAGTTGTACTTCATGTATCAAAAAAAAAAAATCAAAGAAGGTAATCTATCTAGCAATGAACTGGTGGATTTATGCTTCAATTGGCAGGAACGAAATATACCACAACATCCAGTCATGTGGGTCTGATAAAGGGTTTCTATTTTGGTATGACGTGTTGCTCCCTAGTGGTCAAAGGTAGGAGCTGCGTCAAGCTACTAAATAGTATGGAAAACGTTGGAGAGAACGAAACTTCAAAATAAAAGCCTTTATTTTAAGAAGATGCTGAAAGAAAGTAGGTTTATGACTACTGTTCCAATTAAGATGTTTTTCAGGGCACTAACATTTATAATTAAATATTATTTACACAAATGTTTCAGTATTAAAAAAATAAAGTTTCGATTCGGATTTATTTTTAAGCCCCTGAACGGAAGCTGTCATATCATTCTTGGCAGCTTGGGTAAAAAAAAAAAACAGAAATCGCATCAAACGCTGCCCTCTGTGCTGAGTTTGACGGCAATAACAATAGAGGAAACGTGAAAATACTCGAATATAAAGACGACCCGGCGACTAAAAACAAGGGAAACGTCCGTAGTTTTTTGAGTTTTCTTCAGCTAACGCAACGAGGTGAGAAATTTGGAGCACACGTAACGGTTTTCTTTGGCCTATTGAGGTTATCCTTATTTAGCTATTGTTTGGGTGACTTTGGCATTACATTTGGCATCATATAGTTTTCCGAGAAGGTTTTTGGCATAAGTCCGCTTCAGCTGAATCTTTTGTTTATTATAAAAACTATCCTTTTTTATAATTTACGATGTCGATGTTGAAACGTAGTTTGTATATGTTCCTAACCTTGTTATTGGCGAAGCTCTCGGCCTGATGATGCCTTTAAGGGGTCCCTTTAAAAACAGAAACCCCACGTTTATTTTACAAGTACGGTACAAAATCATATTTATTTATTTATTTTAAAAGTAAGTGGTGAATATTTGTTTTTTGATTACTCTGGATGAAAATAGGTGGGTTGCTCTGTTTTTGTTTTTTTCTATATGACGCGTATATTCCACAGCAATCATTATCTATGTCCAGTCATTGGAGTGTGACATTTTTCGATAAATCTGAGGTGGGTGAGCAAAAGGCCCACTGTGATTTCAGATGGAATGACTCAGCTGTTAATGTATAAAAGTACCAAATTGAAATGTATCTGGCAACTCCAACAAAGAGGAAGTTTTCTTGCACATAAAGATTTCTTTTTATATTTAAACCCCTCTGATTTATCTCTTTGTGATGTTAGTATTTCAATTATTTTTTTATTTGAAAGGACAGTGTTCATTCAGACAGTAAAATATTTTCTGTTATTTGTGGCCAATTTGACACATGGCTTTTTTGTCAGTTTCTTGCACATGAAACTTGAAAAGAAAATCAAAGAGTCTCACACTGTTCATCACTTTAAAACCCACTGTATGTGTGAGAGCAATCTAAAGAAAGATGTGAGAGGCATACTCCAACAGGGCTGTTTTCTTCACTATGAAGGCCAAGCTTCAAAATGGGGCGTATCTTCTTGGACCACATCGGTGGGACTCGCCTCTTCTCTTGTGCCAACTGTGACACCATCCTGACCAACCGAGCTGAGCTCATCTCCACCCGCTTCACCGGAGCCACTGGCCGGGCTTTCCTCTTCAACAAGGTACATCAGTTTCTCATGTGATGGACAACATTGATGTTATTTAGTTAAAATACTTTAACTTAAACAATAGAGTGATTGTTTAGTATATTTAATGCAGCTATGTAAATAATTACTTTCATATTAAGAAGTATTAGAAGAGTTAAAGTCTGTCAAAGTACATAGCGGTTAACTGAAATTAGGAAACTTTAAAGTCACCATATTTGTTTCCTTCTTTTTGGATTCCTTAAGCCCCTAAATGAGGGTGGCTGTGACTCAGGAGGTAGATGGTCATCCACCGGCCAGAAGGTTCAAACCCAGGTCGTCCAGTCTGCATGTTATCCTGCCCTAATTGCTGCTGATTCATGCATTGGACTGGTTGTGTTTGTTACAGTTAGAACAAAGCACTGTATGAAATTGTATATGAATGGGTGAATGTGGCTTGTAGTAAAATGTGCTTTGAGTCCTGTGTTAGGGTAGAAAAGCTCTATGTAAGCAGGCACAATTGGTTTGTGATTAGCTAAGGCACAGAGTCTGTGGTACATTACATAACAGATGGCATTTTTATGTTATTTCCATTAACAAAAAAAACAAACATATTTTATGCTTGAGTGAACAAAACTTATAAATATTATAGTCCAGATGATTTTCTTTCAGAAATGTTTTGCATGAAGGTAAAACCCAAAATACATATAACAGTTTCAAACCAAAATTGTTGTTATTGGATCAATCTTTGTTGATTATCTTTGAGATTTAAAGTTGGTGCAATTATTCAAGCTGTAGTTTGTTACAATTCTGGCTTCCAAACAAAACACTATAATCAAGATAAAATTATCACTGTCTTGTTTTTTAACAATTTTCTCACTTTGTCTTTCAGCTCATCCCTTTCTTTCATATTTGCTTTACTATAAAAGTCCAATTTCACTACTTTAATATTTTCTAATTTACTGAAACCAGTTACCTGGAATAAATCATGTTGAATAATTATGATCTCAGTATTGATCACTTTTGAAAAGCAATTATGCGGTACAGTGACGTGTGGTTGGTGTTCTCCAGGTTGTGAATCTGCAGCACAGCGAGGTGCAGGACAGAGTCATGCTGACGGGGAGGCACATGGTGCGTGATGTCAGCTGCAAGAACTGCAACAGCAAACTCGGTTGGATGTACGAATTCGCCACAGAGGAGAGCCAGCGCTACAAGGAGGGCCGCGTCATCCTGGAGAGGGCGCTGGTGAGGGAGAGCGAAGGCTTCGAGCACGTCCCGACCGACAATTCCTGAGTTCATTTATATTCATCTGTGGATACCAAAGCTTTCCCTCCAGCAGCAGCAGAACATGGACTTGCATTGATGGTGTTCCATTTCTCCCTACAGCTACACCAAAATATCACAGGCTGGGTGTTTGTGGGAACAACTGACAACAAGGTGTTAGATATTTTTCAATTCTGATGGGGATTATTCCTCAAAGGGCAAATAAAGTTGCTTTTCTTCCCATTTAAAAATCATCTTCATGTCCAATATGTGATGAGCAGGTGTAGCTGATGGTGGCTGCTGTCAGACGAAGAGACGTGGCTCCTGCAGCCTTACAGGAGGCTCAGATTTCTGTGTAAAGATAATGCGGTGAATCTTGAAAGCTGAGGCTGTCAATGGGTCTAATTTGCTTTAAGAGTGAGTTGTTAAACATTATACTGCAAAAGAATCATTTTCTACAAAGTGTTCAATGTGATGCTTTGCCCTATGGGCTCAGCTGTGCTAGAGAATTACCTTTAAAAGAGTTATTAGTTGATATAAAATGTTATAATTCAGGTTATTTTCATTCAGACAGGTTAGCAATTTAAGCCTGTCACTTAGTTTATTTTATCTATTAAATGACAAAAACAATATTGTGGGGTCTTTACCTTTCCATACCTCTTATTTGACTCTATAAATATAAATAAACCTAAATTCAGTAAAGTTGATTTGACATGTTCTACAGAGTTAGAAATGCCAATATTTCACTACATCACTACTAATCTATCCAGTTTATTTTCCTTTATTTAACAAAGCATGTTTTTGTTTCAGTATTTCAGACTTGTGATATGTTTATTTGCAAAACAACAAATGATTTCAAATATGCAGTTATTTAATTCTCTTTTTTATTGTGTGTGCATATCTAGATTTACATAATATGCCCAAATAATCACAATCTGGTTAGTTTTCTCTTCTTTTTTTAATGTGCTGAGTTTATTTGCCTTTTTAAACAATCATTTTATCATTAAATATTGTCATTACCAGTGGCTTAGACCTTGTGTTTATTACAATTTTGGCCAGTGAAAGCAGTTCTCGGTATGCTTTGTGACTGAATACTTTCTCATAAGTCAACGTAGACAAGCTAACCTGATATAAGTGAAATCAATCTGAAAAAAAAGGGGGAAACAATTATGCATACTTACTTGAAATGACTCCTCCTCAAATTTAATGATGTGCATTATAAATTCTTATTTGGCAGATGTTAATGATATTGTATATTTATATCTGCCACACAGTAAAATGAAGTATATTTACTGTCATGACCAAAGTATATTTTCCTAAACTGGTTACCTGTTAACCCCTATGCCACCGCATTTATAAAACAGAAAAGTCCTAGATTATTTTTTGCTTTGTAGACTATCAGCTCAGTTTTGACATCGACTAAATCAAAGGAGACACATCGTTTAATATAAACTGGACAAACTGTTGTAAATATTGCATTAGACTGTTCAAATTTCTAGGTTTGAAAGCAGTCTAAACTGGTCTCATAGCTCAAATAAGGTAACATATTGAACTTTATATAGACATACCTGTTTGGTTGCATATCAGTCGTAATGGAAAACTCAAGGCACCAAAGTAAAATCCTACATACTATTCTCACTATACCACAGCTAACTACTAGGAACCTACAGGAAGTGTCGAGTTGCCCTTCATTTCTTAATATTATGTTTCAAAAAAGCAAAATATGTTTCACTATACCGCCAATATTTTGCTTCAAAGAAACACAATGTGTCTTATAATTTTTAAAGTGCTCTTGAGCAATAGTTCTCCAGGCTTTCTGAAAGGCTTTCCAAAGTTTGTAACACTAATCTATTCAAGTAGATGAACCAGTGTTACGTCTACACATAACAGGAAATAAATATTTTTTAAACTGTATCTTTAGGCACTGCTAGGGGATCTTTACAGAATAAAGAACAAAGGGCAAGGAAGAGCGTTTAATGTACCTCGGGAAGTCTAGAGAACTAATCCCGAAGCTTAGAAAAACTTAGAAAAAAGAAAAAGAAAAATAACGCTTGCTCAATAAGGGGGGTCACGTGATGCTCTTTTATTTATTTATTTATTTATTTATTTATTTATGTTCTTTTTAATAATACTCATTTGTTTCAATCGTTTTTACCTTATTGAGCAATTGCCTTTATTCTATTGAGCAATATTGTTATGGTTTGTGTTTAACAGTTTGACGTCAATGTGTAGAAAACAAACGCACCATTTGTAAACTCGATTTACGCTGCATTCTGGGTAATACGGAACGAATGACGACACACAGGAGCTGGGAATAAGATAGAAAACGGGTTTCACGTGCTGCGAGAGGCATTCCCCTACTGACTGCATGCTTGCAATACGCGTTGTTTGGATGACATGTAACATAAACGGCATTATTACTTCTCCATTCACTCGGACGGTAGATGAACGAAGCAACTATGGCCAACGGTGAGTTTACTTGTTAACACAAGCTAGCACAACTGGTTAATGTTAGCTGTAAGACCCCGTTAGAGCGACAAAAACATTAGGTAGCAAAACATTAAAATGCAAAACCGAACAGTTTACAGATAAACTGTCATAACCGCGTCGTTTCTGCTCTTAAAGTAATTATTAAAGCGGTCGCTAATGTAGCTTTATACCATTTTGTGCCACGAGCGGTAGCTAATATTTTCTCCCCTTTCTCTCCTCAGAAAATGTGAGCGTGATCTTCAAAGTGTACTGTCTCACGGTGATGACACTGGTGGCAGCGACCTACACAGTGGCACTGCGGTACACCAGGACCATTTCAACAGAGGAGCTGTATTTCTCCACAACTGCAGTGTGCATCGCCGAGGTCATTAAGTTAGTGCTGAGCTTGGGGATGCTCACAAAGTAAGTGTTTGAGGCGCTACCCGCTATTTCCTTAGTGACCACAGAATGTAAGGTATGGGATTAAGAAACCCACATGACTGGCCAATGCGGGTTTGGACTCCGCTTTCCCTTCAGAACCATCTTTATTCTTCACGGCATTGATTCAACAAGTTACTGGAAACATACCTCGGACATTTTAGTCCGTGTTGACATGATAGGATCACGCAGTTGCTGCAGATTTTTCGGCTGGACATCACATTTCAAAGTTGCTCTATTGGATTGAAAGCCGGTGACTGTGGAAGTCATTTAATTGCAGTGAGTTCATTGTCATGCTCAAGAATTCCGTTTGAGACGATTTGAGCTTTATGACATGCTGTTGGAAGCAACTTTCAGAAGATGTGTTCAGTGTGGTCATAACGTAGTGGGCACGGTTGGCAATAACGTTCAGGTAGGCTGTGCTGATGCTAAGGGGTCCAATATCCTCAGTCTAAGCAAAATTCTGGCTATCTCAGATTCATAACAGGAAACATTTTTCCTTGTGTGTGTGTGTGCGCGCGCGCTTCGAGGTTCAAAATCTTGTGTGTTCAGAGACACCTTTTCCAAACTTTGGCTCTAATGAATAGGTATTTAAGTTAATGTCTCTTTCCTGTAAGCTTGAGGTAGTCTGGCCATTTTTCTCTGACATGTGACTTCAAACAAGGCATTTTCGTTGATTTTTTTTTTTTCTTTTTTGAGGTATTCTCTGTAAATACAAGAGATAATTGTGCATGGAAATCCCTTCAGATGAACCGTTTCTGAAATACTCAGACTAGCCCGTCTGGCACCAACCGCCATGCCATGTTGAGAGTCAAGTAAATCACCATTCCTCATTCCTCAGTTTAAAGTTGAGTAGATTGGCTTAGTTGTGTTTTCCAAATGCACTTGTTGCCAAGCAGTTTAATTACCTAATAAAGTAATCAGCGTGTGTGTGTGTGTGTGTGTGTGTGTGTGTGTGTGTGTGTACATAAAAATGTTTCTCTATAAATCTTTATATTAATAAATTAAGGTTGCCTAGTTTGAAATTTCATTTGATAAATAAGCCAATAGATTTTGTCTAGAAGATATAATAGATGATGCTTAGCTTCATTAAGAATATGTGTGTGCTTTTACCTAAAGATAATCTTCTTTGCCACTCATTTTCCGAGTAAATCGATTTATAGTTTGGTGTATAACATTTCCTTTAAACTTGTACCTTTTCAGCTCATTTAAGCCCAGTATTTTGCCTTTATAATTTTCCATTTCATTTTGTCATTTTATATTCATTTTGTCAGATTGATGCCAAATAATAAACTAAAGGCTGCCAAGAAAAAGAAGAGCAGAAATTTCTCACAAGTGACAAGTTGTAAAGAGACAGCAAAGAAGACTTTAATAATAGAAAAACATCTTTAGACACATTGTAGTTCAATCTGTAACTTTATTTACAGAGCTCAGGTTCAGCATATCCAGACTTTCTTTGGCTCAACAAAACCAGTCAAAGAGAAGCAGAGTGGTTATTAATGGTCTTTGCTTCATTTTCTTTTTCTATACCTAACTTTTTCCACACAAAATAGATCAATGTCAGTCAGAATTTGTCAGAGAAACACAATATTGAGATTTATTTTTAATAAGGCTATAAAAAAAATATGGAAATTATATTCGTTTTGTCCAAATGAGAATGCAAGTAATTTGCACTACAAATAAACTGATCCATCTTCTATAAGCTGCAATTCCAGCACTGTAACACATGACTGTGTATAAATTCCTGTTGCGTGCTTTCGTTTGTCAGTGCCAATAAAATGCACCTCAGTAACTTATTACGTATAAACTGGATTTCCTCAAGAGAAATTCCAGAGTAATTGGAGGTGATTCTGAAAAGAAAATATGTGCCATTTCCAGTCTGAACCTAACTGCAGATTGTCTTTGTCATAAGTTGTCGTGCCATTGTAGCCACACAAATGGAGACACACCTTCACCACATACTAAGAGACTTGTTAATCTTGTTTCATGAATAAACCCCTCAGATAAAACAAACATATCATGTCATGCAGAACATACAAATAACAATGGTTTGATCATTTACCAAAAATTTCTTCTTCGTCCATTCATCTGTTGTTTTTCACTTTTCCTCTCCCAGGGAAACGGCAAGTCTCATCAAACTAAAAGCCACCTTACAGGAACACATCTTCTGCAGCCCTAAAGAACTGCTAAAACTCAGCGTGCCTTCGGTGGTGTATGCAGTTCAGAATAATATGGCTTTCATCGCCCTGAGTAATCTGGATGTAGCAGTTTATCAGGTATTATGTGAATCTGGGTTTGACGTGTGGCTCTTGTGGAGACAGTCCACGTCATCATTTACACAGGTCTTGTTACACGCATTTAATTATATCAGTAGCAACTAAATTCTATAGATAACTGCTTGATAAAGTTTCCTTTTTGTTTTATATTTTTTAAGTACTTGGTATATTTTGGATCCAAGAAGTTTGATATCCTCCTTATGTCAAGTGGGACTTTCCCCTTATAGTCAAAGGGTTTGTTGCACAAGTATTTGTGGCAAAATGAAGCTCAGTTTATGTGCAGTTTATACCTCAGAAAGCGTTCAGTAAATTGCATTTTTGACACATTTTTGAGAGAGATTTGTAGGCAGTGAATTTAAGATCACTTTGGCTTTTGCTTTTCAGGCTGAAATGCTAATAGTGTACAACATATTTAGGGAAACAAATTCTACATCTATGTGTGAAGTTATAATATTTAGTTCAAAATCCTTTTTAGGTCACCTATCAGCTGAAGATCCCGTGCACAGCCTTGTGTACAGTGCTCATGCTGAACCGCTCTCTCAACCGGCTGCAATGGTTTTCCGTCTTTATGCTCTGTGGAGGCGTTACACTGGTTCAGTGGAAACCTGCGGAGGCCACTAAAGTTCAGGTGGGGCGGCATGTTACACTATCCTGGTTACTCAGTAAACCACTCTTAATTTCCT